TTTGAGAAAAGATCATGATGGCAGGAGCCACCTGAAAGTTTCTCTGCAGAAAATGGCTATACTGAGTTTGTCATTGTATGCCTGGAACAAATAGATTCAGATCCTGGTACCTTCCCCTAGCAGAAGGGTTGCACCATGTCCTAGTAAGGCAAATTAAAAAGACAGAGGAAGATTTGGAGGCAGGAAAAGAAGAGGATTTAGATTTACACTCCATTTCCACTTTCCTCTTTGGCAGAGGTATTGGAGACAGGGTGTTTTATTTGCCTAAGTGCAGACCCATGTTTTATGTCTTCACCTAGGTTGCTGTTTGAAACCTAGGAAGGAAGGAAGGAAGTCAATTATTAGGTTTCTTTTATGACTTGTATTTTTAGTAACTTCTTTGTAATTTTTGGTATATCTTATGCTTTCTCTCTTCAGCTTTGCACTTTTCAAAGACAGGGGCTTAGCCCAATGAATTCTCATCAGTTTTAGGAGGTGATAAGGTGACAAGATGCAACCAAGATCTTCTGACTTTTATTCCCCACCCTGCCACAGGCCTTAGTTTTCCTTCTGAACACTTAGTCAAAAAGGGTAGTCCTAGAAAATATCCTGGGCACTACATTATTTATATCCATAGACATGATTCCTAACACTTTACAGAAAAGAAAAGCTTTTCTCTTGTTTCCTATCGCTATAAAAAAGAGAGAAAATAGTTTCATTAGCAATCTACAAGAGACATATGTCATCCATTCAGCTGTCACATTGGATCTCTGTTTCCCTCACTGTTGAAATGTTAAGGTAACTTTTATGTATAATGTTTCCTTTCATTGAGTTTATTGTATGTGGCTGCTAGTCATTTTCTGCATGTAGCAATGATTGATTTGTTGTTACAGACAGAGCAAGCATCCGAGGTTGAATTACATCCTCAGATGACTAGACCGCCATCACAGGCAGAAGAAAACAGTTCAGCAAAGAAGGTGAGAGCTGCACATGTTGTTCTGTTGTTGAATGATTTGCCTTCATCAGCAAATGTAGTTGTTTTAGGTTTTAGAGCAGTTAAACTGAGGGTTGGGGTTATGTTCTTACATTTTTACATGTTTACCTTCTTTGGAGGTCAAGACACTAGAGAGAACTGGGATCATGTGTAACATCAACTCAGATAAATCATTAAGAAATCTCTTAGTATACGCGTCAATATATGTGCATTAAGAAAGGCAGCTTACCATTTGTTTCCAATCAATAGGGATTCACGGAGTCTTAGGGAAGACAAAAAAAGAATTTGATTGTGTTTGACCCTCATTTCACTGTAATTCTTCCAAATTGTGACACACTTCTTGCTTCGGGTTATTAAAGATTCATTTTTGATCCCATATAAACACACCTGTTTGCTAGAGGTTAGAATCTGCTACTAAACGTGCAGTTTGAGAAAGTTCTTCAAATGTTTGCTTAAGATGTGTAGTTTCCATTCTGTTTSTATATAAGCATAGAATTTGTATAAATTAATCACTAAAATTGCAATGTCAGTCTTCACAGAGCCTAGCTCTGCTCATGTTGCCCCTGCCTTTTCCAATAGATATTTTGTAGAGGGCAACTGGAGATTGCCCCCAGCCSTTACAGCAGCTAGGGCACACCTACAAAATCAGTGCTCAGCTCAGGCAATAAGTGTTGGCATCTAGCATATACTCTCCTCTGGGAGCATCATTACAGTTGTTTCTAACAGTGGGCACAGGCAAATGCCCCAGGGTAATTTTTCTGTGTATGATAGGGCTTTTCAGGCAGCATCTCACTCCAGGTGTGTTCACCACCTTCTGCTTTGAGTTGAGCCCCGTGTTTCCCTTTCCACTTTGAAACCCTCCAGGGAAATTTAAATTCTTGTGGTCAACATACTTCATAGTCACTGTCTTCCCAGCTCACTCCCTGAAATATAGAGAAGTCACTGGCTTGGGGCCCAGATTACAGGTTGAGGATGATGGACTATCTTAATTTTTAAAAAGTGAAAATTCTTTTAACTGTTAAAGTATGAAAATCCAACACTTTTTATTTTAACTATGAGTCAGACTGTCTCTGTCAGAGAAAATACTGATCTTCTACACATTCTACATGTTAATTTTGTGTGTATAATTTAACACAGATGTTTTTTGAAACTAGTTTCAGTGCTGCTTCATATAAGAGAATAGGGAAGAGAAGGAAGAGAATCCATGCCAAGGAGTGAAGCGTTTGGGCAGTAAATTGGGGTACAAGTGGTCGATTATTGATTCTTACCAAATATTAGGCAATTGAAAGTAAATCTTATTTTGGTTTAAATGTTTTTGAGCTGGCTGGAGATGAGCATATGTGTTTGTACATACAGCTATACAGACTAGCTTTGAGGACTCTGTAATACAGATGAAGACAAAAGTAGTATAATTTGTGTGTGTGTGCAGGGGTTGGACTAGATGAACTCTAGAGGTCCCTTCCAACCTTAAGGATTCTATGATTCTGTGATTAGGGTATTGCAGGAGTTACTGTTTCTTCAAAGTCCAAAAAAAAAAAAAGGCAAGAGGCCTTTACCAAATTTAAATTTAGCACTGTACTACTTAAAATTATGAAATCATAGGTTGGACATCAGCTATTTYTGTGTCTTCCCAGGCTTAATGATTGGACACCTCTGGACTGACTCACCCTTGCTTGTGTTTGTCCCTTACAGGAGGTTGTGCTCGCTCAGCTGCCCTCCAAACCYGTCCGCAGGAAGTTCCGGATGGAGACACAAGCGCTGGAGAACCCCGAGCTTTCTCCCACCATAAATGTGACTTCTTCCTTGCCAGCAGTTAAGCCTCACCTTCCAGTCCAAAAGTAAAAAAAACATACCAAGCATGTCTAACTRTCGTGAGCTTTGATGTAACTGGGGTTGCTTTTTGCGGTTCTTATGTGTAATACTTCTGGTTTTGCAAATTCATCATGAGCTATAGGTATCTCACATCTGGATATATCCACTCAGATACACACCAAGTCTTTACTGACCATAAGGTGATGGTGATTGATTGGTGGCCTCTTCAAAACAAGTCTCTTTACCTAGTACATATGTCTGACGATCAAGCCTTGTTGAGGCAATGTATCTAACAAAGATCTCTTTTTAACTCTTTGGGTGTGTATTTTTACCTTGCACCAGTCTTTAGGAATTTTGCTYGTTCATTTTGACAGATTTAATCAGTTAAATGCAAAGGAAATAGAATCATGAAATGCTCCAGTTTGGTCACAGCCTTGTGATATTTCTCGATAGTAAAGAATGCTAGAAATGAGCTCTCCATTGACAGGGAGTGAACCATAAACCTCATGTGATATTCCAATAATTGCCAAGTGTAGTCTGTTATTTTGCTCTCATAAATGTAACTGTTGAAGCTGTCACAAACAAAAATTTCCGGGAATTTCAGCATCTGTTTTTTTAATAGCCATTTGGAAGGGACTATACTACTGAAACATACTAAGTGARGGCACTTGAAGCCCTATAAAGCCTATGTATATCCCACAACTCAAACACTGTGAAAGCATATTATGGCTTGCTTTCACTCAAAGCCTTTCAAAGATGTCTAGCTAAATCTGAAACAAAACCATGCTGCTCAAATCAGTTGAACAATTCTTGGCAAACTCTATCAGTACCCTCAATCTGTGTGACATAATTGGAGATTAGACTAAATAATAGGACTCCTAGGATGCCCTTAGAGTGCTATTTTGTGCTTTGGGATTGCATATTCCACAGTGGTTCAAAGAAAGATAACAGCATTTGTTAACATCTCAACTTAATCCTGTCTTGTCTACATTTTTCCTAAAATGTTTAAATGTTTAAATGATAGTAGAGATACAGCTCTTCCTTCCTTCCTTCCTTCCTTCCTTCCTTCCTTCCTTCCTTCCTTCCTTCCTTCCTTCCTTCCTTCCTTCCTTCCTTCCTTCCTTCCTTCCTT